CTGGCTATTGCCGCGGACGAAGCGTAAGAGGGGTGAACGGAAGCTGGCAGAAGGGCGGAGCGAAGGAGAGACATAGTGTTCAGCGCCATGGTTTTTGCCCCCTGTCAGGTCGGGACACAACACACACACACAAACACACAAGCACACACACACACACACTCAGGGAAGGACACAGAAACACACACACACACACACACAACACACACATACACAACACACGCAACACACACATGCACACACACAACACACACTAATTCACACAACCACGCGCGCACACGCGCGCACACATTTACATCCTGACATTCGCCGATCTGATATTGTCCATCCGGGGCCCCAGATGCCTCGACCTCTCCCTCGGGAGTCGTTCTCCTTCAGATTTCTTCGTATGGCCTATGCCCCCAGGGCCCTGGATGTCGAGAGGGAGCTGGGACGCCGGGATGAAAGCACGTGTCGCTGAAGATTTGGTCATCCGTTGCAGGGCGCAGCGGGGGGCCTCTGCCCAGCACGGTGCTGGCATGCAAGGGGCGATCTTTTGGTTCAAGCAGTGGCGAAGCGTCCTGGCTCGCCTATAGCCCCACCAAACATTGTTCTAAGAACCTTTTGTGGTTCCCACGAAATGTTCTTAGAACATGTCTGGTTGGGACTGTCTTGTTTTCACACATCGGGGTTATGTTCTAAGAACATTGTTTTTGTTCTTAGAACATTGTTGGGTTCTAAGAACATTCCGTGGTAATGCCGGGGCGGTGGGTCCCTGCTCAACTGGTAGATTTTTGGCAGGTTCACGTTCACATTCACGGATTCGGAGGTGGGTAGACCTCCCACCCTGACACGTCGATTAGCGAATTAGCCGTTTTCGGTTCGCGAGAGGGCGTCGCGGCCGTCACTCTAGCGGATCCGGGTCCGTCGGTCTCGGTCCCAGGCCGTTTTCATTGAAGGGTGGCTTATTAGATCGAGGTTTGTCTACCGCCGATGGCTGGCCTATACGCAAGGCGGGACTCCTTTGCACGCCCTTTCGGCCCAGGCGCTGTTCGGAAACGCGGCGGATGGGGGTGCGGGGGAGGGGGGGGGGGTGGAATTCCCTTCAAGCAGACATGTATGAGTCGAAAGTCAGAGAGAGGAGCAAGACGTCATGATATGGATACGTTCCAAGCTTCCCGCAGTTTCCAGGAACATCTAGATTTCCCGATGTTCCGTGTGGGCCGCAGACGCGAGGGCCACTAGGTCTTCCAGAACTCCTGGACCGCATCTTGGGCGAATCGTGCAGTCGGACCGAGGTATACGATCGATGTAGGTTCGGGGAGGGTGCTCTAGTGTTCTTCGTTCTTGTTGGATATTTTTGTGCGTCCTGGGGAGGGTACCCTTGGATGTTCTTTTTGTTTTGGCCGACGGTGGGTCTCACGTTCTTGAAGGATGTTCTTCTGGCCCAGGTCCGACTGCATCCTGGTATCGCTCTCGTCCCCTGAAGTTAGGTCGGGCGTGTCCCTCTACATGGGCACTATTGAAACATAGTCTAAAAAATAATATGGGGACGATATTTCACGTATTTGTGTTGACTAATTTGGGGTACTTTTGACTACTTTTTCATTTTCGTCCGAACTCTCCCTGCAGGGGGACAGGCCCGACTTAACCATAACGGAAGACGCCCTCCAGGGGCCTCAAGTGCGTGCGAGTGGGCGTTCCCTCAGGTCCCTTCCCTAATCTCCTGAGCCTCAAGCCTGACTCCCGAGGAGTCTCGTAGGGGCCAGGAGCCTCAATTGCCGCATGCCCCCTGGGGGTCCCTGCATCTTCCCGCAGGACATGTTCGGGCCCAAGCGGGCCCCGGGACGGGCCAAGAGACAAGGGCTCCCTCGAGGGCGCGAAGTTATTCGCGCTTCGCGGTCCTCGTTCCTTCTCCCCCTCCTCCTCGTCCTCCTATTCTCCCTTTGGGAGGGCGGCGCGAGAGCGCGAAGTTATTCGCGCTTCGCGCAGCGCGAAGCGCGAAGTTGGGAGCCCTTGAAGAGAGGGGCCTGGCGGGGGGGCGCACCGTTGGGCCCAGGGAGTGGTCGGCCGGCCCCGCCCGGCCTTCGCCAGCACGGCAACGCGGGGGCGGCGCGCGAGCGGCGCGCGGCGGCGGGGGAGCTCGCAGCGCCGAAAAGGGGTCGTCGTCGGCAGAAGTCGTCGTCGGGACGTCGTGGGAAAACACACACACACACACACACACACACTGTGGGAAAAAAGCACGTGGGACAAAAACACACACAAAAACACACTGTGGGAAAAAACCACACTGTGGGAAACAAACACACGCACAGTCTGTGGGAAAACACGTGTGTGTGTGTGTTTGTGTGTGTTTTTGTTCCCACAGTGTTTTTTTTTTGTGTGTGTGTGTGTGTGTGTGTGTGTGTGTGTGTGTGTGTGTGTGTGTGTGTGTGTGTGTGTGTGTGTGTTTGTTGCCAAAAAAGGGGTCGTCGTCGGCAGAAGTCGTGGTCGGGACGTCGCTGCTGTCTGGAGTGCGTCGCCTTGTTGCCTCGCAGCGCCAAGAGGGGGCCGGGCCACGCCGCGAGTGCGCTGGGCGTGGCCTGGGAGGTGGAGGTTCGAAGGTCGAGATTCCAGGATCCAGCTTGGAGGTTTTTGGCTGTTCGAGGAGACCTGTCGCCTCCGCGGCTAGATCCCAGTCGAAGTTCTGGTCAGTGCGCACTCCTGGCGAGGCTTGCCTCTCGAATGACGAAGGGGGCATGCAGAAGAGGGCTATTGAGGCAAGGGGTCCTGAGTTTTGTTCGCCGTTTTCGCTCCTCCCCCCCGTGTGGCCCCGCGCGGACCCAGGGCCGTCAAAGAGCGCGGCGGTGGGAAAGATCGTTCCTGAAAGGCCCGTTGCCCTCCTTACCCACGCCGGAGTGGCGGGTTTTTGTCCCCGTCCCCCTTTTGAGAAGAGTGGCCTGTCGCTGGAGTGACCCTGTGGTGCGGGCCCAATGGGGCTCCCCGGTCGCAAGTAGAAGGGCGGCAGCAGCGGCTTTCGCGCCCGTGTTCGGCCACCCCGCGTCAACCGTTCAGTCGCGCACCGATCGGGGGAGCGTAAGACCCGGGTTTGCCGGGACTCGGGTTCGCCATCGTTTTTTGACGACCGCGCCTCGGATTTTGACGAGGAGGAGTTTTGTGGGATGTCTGCAGCGGGAGGCCTCGTCAAAATGCAGGCTCGGCCTCGTCATTGTTTTGACGACCTCGTCGGGGATTTCCGAGTCCCCCGTACCCGGGTCTTACGTCTCCCCGAACCGAAGGTCACTCTTGCCCAGGGTCGCTCTCACGTGCACCCTACCATTCCCCCCCGCCCCGCCCTGCCCGGCCTGCCCGCCCCGTGCTGTTTGCTTCCCGCCTGCGGCGCGCTGCGGCCGCGGCCGCTCCCTGCCGCCAGCGAGCCGCCCCTCCTCCTCCTCCTCTTCTTTTTCCTCCTCCTCCTCCTCCTCCCTCCCTCCTCCTCCTCCTCCTCCTCCTCCTCCTCCTCCTCCTCCTCCTCCTCCCCCCCCACCTCCTTCCCCTCCTCCTCCTCTTCCTCCTCCTCCTCCTCCTCCTCCTCCTCCCAGCCCGCCTGAGTCATCAGATGCACGCGCGGGAAGCGCGCGTGACGCGGTTGGCCAGCGCGTGCACCCTTCCCCAGATCGGGGCGTCACCAGACAAACCTAGCGACTGGCGGCTTTTGCTTCAGTTCAGTAATCTCGGCCTCCAGCCAGGTCCTGGCTACACAGCGGCTCGGAAGGGACATCGGGTTCTGGAGACCGGCTCGATTCCGGCCCCGCGCCCACCCGGCCCGACCTGTCCCACCCCCCCATCCCCCCACGCCCCGCCCGCCCGCGGCCTTTTGCGTGGCTCCCACGCGCCGCTCCCGCGCTCGCCCGGTTTTCGTGGCTCCCTCCTGCCGTACTGGCAGATTACGCCCGGCCCCATCGCGTCTTTCCTCCCCGCGGCTCCCCGCCTGCCCTGCGCTGCGCACGCGCACCGCCTTCGCCGCTGCTGCGCCGCTCGCCCGTCGAGCCGCCCTCTGCCACTGCAGCTCACCAGCGCAGCCTCCCCATGCTGCCGCACCGGCTCCCGCTCGGGTGACTGGGTCTGCCATTGTCCTCGCAGCGGTGGCCTCCCTATCCCGACTTGCCGCGCCCCGCCCCGCATTGCAGCCGCTGGGCCCATCCCTGGATGCGCTCGCGATGCCGCCCCGCGCCCGCTGCCAGGGGCTGCTGCACTTGCTTGGCCACCCCGTTCGCCCCGCTGCGGCTTCGCCGCGTGAATGCGCCTTCCCCCCTTGTCGCCCCACCTCGGATGCCGCCCCTCTCCTTTTCCACTCCTCCTGCATGCGGGCAAATTCCCAATATCGTTGCCCGGGTTGCTTGGACGCGCGCGCGGACTGCTTCTGCCGCGCTGCGACGCAAAATGGCTTTCAGCGTCGCCACCCCGTTCCCCGCAGTCCCATCACCTTCCCTCCCTTCCGTCCCGTCCTCTGCCTCCCCTACCACTTAGCGCCCCCCTGCCCTCCCTTAGCACCATTCCCCTCTGCTCCGCCCTGCCCCCCCCCTTTTTCCCCTCCTCCCGTCCTGCCAGCTCTCGCCCGTCCCTTGCGGCGTCCCACGCCTCTCTCCCCCGTTCCTTCCCGTAGCCCGTCCCTGCCTGGCCACCCGGGGACCCCAAACGGTGTGGTGACCACACCGCGTGGTGCATCCGCGGGGGGGGTCGGGGTCACCGCCGCCGCTTTTGGGACTCGAGTCGTCCTCCGAGGACGCCTCGAGCGACCAGGGCCTTGAGGGCCCCAGCGCCATGACGGACCCTGCGGCGAGGTCTTCTGGGATGTCGAGGTCATCGCGAGGTGTGCCACCAGACGCCGCTTTTGGAACTCCAGACCAACTCGGCGGAGAGCAACCCCGAGGACTCCATGCAGTCCCAAGGGATCCTGGGGCATCCCGAGGGTTGGAGGAATCCAAGGTCAACGCGCGGTGCGTCACCACACGGGCCCCCCCAAGCAAACCTGGCGGGGGGCAGGCTGCCGACCAGCGCCCAGGGCCGCCCCATGGGCGACGATGACCCGCGCCACGCCGTGGAGATCATGCGGGAGAAACTCGCCAAGGCGGCGCCCCTCCTGAGCCGAGCTGCCGCTGCCTGCCTTACCCCCTTGTTCAAGGAGGAATCGGGGGTGGATAGACCTACCCTGACAAGCCGATTAAGGAATGTGCCGTTTTCGGTTCGCGAGAGGGCGTCGCGGCCGTCATGTTTGCGGGTCCAGGTCCGTCGGTTTCGGTCCCAGGCCGTTTTCATTAAGGGGAGGTTTACTAAAGGGAGGTTTGTCCACCGCCGAAGGAAGGACCACCCGGACCGGACAACTGGCGTTTGCTGAACGGGCCTGGGCGTTGATGCTGAAAACGCCCCGCCCTGTTCGATTCCTGCCCTGGGTGCGTTTCCTGACCGGCCTCGCTTGTCGGGGTGGTCATTCTGGGGGTGTATGGTTTGCCTTCTGCTCTTGACGTCGGCCAGACCCGGAGCATCGGAACGGGCAGCGTCCAGACGGCATGAGAAAGCGAACGAAACCGGTGCAGGCGCGGTGGCTTACACACAACCAGCTTGGGTGGGCGCAGCGGGAAGAAGGAGAGGCGGAGGGAGAAAACGGAATCGTGAAAAGGCCCGTGTGGGCACAGAGTGTGATAGCGGAATCGGTGGAGAGGGGTTGGAGGGATGGGGAGGAGGATGAGGAGGGGAAGGGGGATGGAGGGGGGCGGGACTGGGCAGGCTCAGTCAGAAGGTGAATCACCCCCCTTGGCCCCATTTGGTCTGGGAGGGGGTGATGGAGGTGATACCGATCCACAGGTGGGGTTCGTTTGTTGCACTGGGCATTTGTTTCGCATGGTCTTTTGGACCCTGGGGCCATCGCAGAGCGATCCAGCTCGAAACGTGCAGCAGAAATGGGAATGCTGGGTCTGGGGCTGTAGTCGTAATCTTGTATGTGTGCCCGTGGCATCGGATCTCGGGGTCCTCCTTCCTTTCTCGGCTGGGAGGTCGTGCTGAAACCGCATGGTGCGGACTGGCCGTTCCAAGGGCTGTGCATAGGCAGTGGCGTGGCCTCTCTCCGTGACCTCGGCTCCCCCCCTTCTCGACGGCTGGGATCGCCTGGTGATTTGTGATGGTGTGGGCAACGAGGCCGCGCTGTTCGAGTTCCAGCCGGAGGATGGAGCTCCTGTGCTGCAGCCGTCGCAGCGGTCTGCGGGTGCTCGGCGAGGTCTCATGGAGGAGGAGGAGGAGGAGGAGGAGGAGGAGGAGGAGGAGGAGGAGGAGGAGGAGGAGGAGGAGGAGGAGGAGGAGGAGGAGGAGGAGGAGGAGGAGGAGGGGGGGGGGGCATCGGCCCCGCCCAGGAGCGTGCGGTCTCGCCATCGGAGGGCGCAGGGGCCGGTCGATCCACGCTGGCGGCCCCTTGTCCTTCCCCGTCATCCCGCTTCGCGTCCTCCCCAGACCCCCTCGAGTCGTGAAAAAATCACGACGGGACGTTTTTCGCTATCTTCGGCCTCCGGGGGCCCTTACCGGCCCTCAGGACCGTCAAAAAACGACTCAGGATGAAAAGCCGGTCCCGGGGAATGGGTCCGGACCTCTGGGGGTCGCGTCATGAAAAAATCATGACGTCGGGGGTCTGGGTCTTCTCTTTCGGGAGGGGAAAAAAACACACAGAGACAATGAATCGTCGATCCCCCAGAACATATGGGAACATATGGGCAGTGGGGGGGGGAAGACCGAGACCCCGAACATATGGGAAAGTATGGGGAATCGTTTTATTTGTGTGTGTGTGTATCTATTTGTGTGTCCCAGGGCCCCTTCACTCGTCCTCGGCTGGGGGATCGTGCTGAAGCGCGCCAGGGTGTTGGTTGGCTCTTCCCCGGCTGTTTGTTCTAGGCAGTGGCGTGACATTCCTCTGTGAATGCGGTTTTCTTTGATGGTTTGTTGGGGAGCGGGTGAGAACGCCATGCTTCTCGAGCTCCCTCAGTCGGAGTGGATCGAGCTCTTGTGTAGCGCCCGTCGTGGCGAGCGAAGTGGCAGCCCTTCGATTCGGGCAGCGTCAGTCTCGCCCTCCTCTCTTCCTCCTCACTCCCAGAGGGCAGCAGGCAACGCCTCCTTCGCTCGCGGGGGGATGGTCAGGGCGCTCCCGCTCGAACCGCATGCGGAGCTGCGCCCTCTTTCCGAAAGCGAGCTCCGCGTTCGAGCGCGAAGCCGGGGAGGAGCCCGGGAGGCGGGAGGCGCGGCGCCCTCGTCGGCTGCGCGCAAGAGGGACCTCTCGCGCCGGAGTGCCCTGTTGGGTGTGGGCGATCGCAGGGGATCCGAGGCGACGGATGGGGGCGGATAGCCCAGGGGAGAGCAACACATGTATTCGGGTGCGCCGATGATCTACAGTCGGCCTGGATTAGTAGGTCGACCCTGCCAAACGAAGGGACACTACATGATTGTGGCAAGATGTGGCCCTCGGAAGGGTATTGTGTCCTCTCGCGTGTCCTCTCCAATCAATCCCGACTGCATATGTCTTCGAAGAGGCTCCCGGTCGACTGCGTGCAGTGCCCGCCCTGTGGGCTGCTCGCCCCCGTCGCCGCCGCCGGGGGGATGTGCCTCGGCGCCTGGCCCGCGCGCCCGGGCGTGGCCCTTTCGCGGGCCCCCCCCCCCCCCGCGGCCTTCGCAGCGGAGGCCTCGCGCCTGCCCGGGGTCGCTCTCTGTGTGCCGCTGGCGCCGGGCGTTCTGTCGGGCGTGTCCCCCTACTGGGGGAGCTTCGACGAAAAATAGTCCAAAAATAGTCCAAAGATGAGTCCAAAAATAGTCCAAAAGGTCCAAAAATAGTCCAAACATAGTCTTTGGATTCATCTTGGAGATACCCCAAGATGAATCCAAAGATAGTCCAAAAGTAGTCTGGGGACTATGTTTTGACTATGTTTTCACCTTTTTGGGTGGTATTTTGGGGGTCTTTTTTATCTTTCGTCGAAAATCCCCCTGTAGGGTGACAGGCCCGACGTAAGCCTGGCGGCAGGCCCCCGCCCCCCGGGCGGCGACGATGCAGGGTCGGGCGTTCCACGTTGAGCTTGGCCAGGGACCGACCGTCCGGGCATTCCTGCAGGCCTACCACGACGTGTTCACAAGCGACGCGCGCGCAATCTCTGTTGCAGCCGGAATCACCAGGCACATATTGGGACGCATCCTGCAAAAGCAGAGCACGTAACAGCCGCGCCTCCTTTGCGGCGAGGTTGCCCACTGACCGCTTACAGAAGCTTCGCGAAAAACGCAAGCAGGATCACGTGCGTCTGCAGAGCGAAGGCCACATCATGAGGTCTGTAGAACCCGCAGGTGTTCCAGGAGCAAGACCAATCAGTGTTCTCAGAGCAGGTTCCCGCTGTGTCAAAGCAGGCCAGTCCCAGCCAGAAATGCCCCGAGGACGTGGAAGCCACAGACGGTTCTTAGGACACTGTTCGGTAGGCCTATAGGCACGCCAGGACGCTTCGCCACTGCTTGATGAAGGCCGCTGGCGGGCGGGGTCGCCGCCGGTCGGCACGACACGAACCTGCCGTACACATGGCCGCGCCAGAAAGAGGGTGGGACGGGCAGCCCTGGACCACCCGGACCCGCCCCCAGGGGCGAAGAGGAGGAGGAGGAGGAGGAGGAGGAGGAGGAGGAGGAGGCGGATGAGGCGGAGGAGGAGGAGGAGGCGGAGGAGGGGGAGGAGGAGGAACGGGAACAGCTCAGGGGCAACGTCCAGTCAGAAGGCATTCGTCGCCGACAGGGGCCTGGTAGCCCACCCGGCCCAGCAGCGCACGGACTCGCTCTCGGAGGCCTCGCGTCGATCTACCGGCGCTGTATCGCCGATTCCAGCTTGCTGCTCCCCCTTTGAGCCGGTCCCCGCCTCCGACGTTGCCCCTCACTCAAGCAGTGGCGAAGCGTCTTGGCTCGCCTATAGCCCTTCCAAACAATGTTCTAAGAACCTTTTGTGGTTTCCACGAAATGTTCTTAGAACAGTTCAGGCGGAGATTGTCCTGTTTAAACACATGGGGTTCATGCTCTAAGAACACTGTTTTTGCTCTTTGAACTTCTTTGGGTTCTAAGAACACTTCGTGGTATGACTACAGGAATGCCGGGACGGTCGGTCCCTGCTCAATTCACAGCAGCAGCAGGAGGCCGGCAGTCCCGAGGTTCGGAGGAGGACCGGTCGAGACGGCGGCGGCCCTCCACAGTTTTTTCGTCCCTCTCTGGGTGGTGGCCTCCCGGAGGCTTCTCGTCGCCACGGCTGGATCCGCTTCGGGGAACGGGCCAGGACAGATTTCTGCGTCGCAGGCCTCGAGGTTGACACCAACACCAATATCGGCGGCGTGCCTCCACCGAGGGAAGAAGATTCTGGTCTCAGATGTGGTGGTACTATTCTGGCTTCCAAGGTGGCCGAAATATATTGCCACCAACGCCGAAGTCTAGGATCATCTTCCCCTTGCAGAGGCAGCCCCCTGTGCTGGTGTTGGTGCCCATTTTCCAGGCCTCCAGAGCAGCGGGAGCGCAGATCCCTCCCCTTCCCCATCCTCCCGCATTTCCCTCCCCTGGCCACAGTTATTGGGCGGGCCAGGGTGGACGCGCGCACGCTTTGGGTGTTGGCGGCGGGTCCTCCTGCCCTCCTCCTCCTCTTCCTCCTCCTCCTCCTCCTCCTCCTCCTCCTCTTCCTCCCCCTCCTCTTCCGCCCCCGCCTCCTCCTCCTCCTCCGCCTCCTCCTCCACCTCCTCTTCCTCTTCCTGTTGCCGCCTCAGCTCACAGTGCGGGCGCACCTCCCGGCCAAGTCGACCAGCGAAGTGCCCTCCTGCTCGGCTCGAGAGGATACTGCTGCGGACGGAATTTCCGTCCGGGTCTGGGCCCCGGCCGCGTTTTCACCCAAGGGCGTTTTGCCAAAGAGGGCCTTGCCCACCCCCGACCTTTCTACCCTGCCACGACGCCAGCTGACTGGGCCTTCCAGATGTGGTCGGAGCAGACGTGGTCGGCGGATTGCGCCGCATCGCCGATGCATCGGTGATGCCGCTAGATGTGGAGCTCGATTTTCTCCACGCCCACGTCGCCAGTGCAACGCCGACGTCGCCCATGCATCGCCCATGCATCGCCGATGCATTGCCGATGCACTGCCGATGCGGCGAGATCCTCCGACCCCATCGCTGAGGCGCTCCCGCCGCCCCCCTGGTGGGTCTCAACCCTGGGGGGGGCGACCGCCCGCGCTCGCTCGCTTGCTCGTCCTCTTTTGCCGCGCGCGAGGTCCACCCCTGCGCCGAGCGCGACCAGGCGGAGAAGCTTCTGGCGCAGCTGGACCGCCCAGCCGGCCGCCCTTCTCGTAGGCTGAGCCCGCGCTCGAGGAGTACGACGGCGACGACACGCTCGGCCGACGAGGAAGGACATGTGGGATTGGAGGAGGCCGAGACGGCGAGAGGGGGAGGGGGAGGAGGAGGGGGCGGAGAAGGAGAGGAGGAGGAGGAGGGGAGGACGACGAGGAGGAGGAGGAGGAGGAAGAGGAGGAGGAGGAGGAGGGAGGAGGAGTGGAGGAGGAGGAGGAGGAGGACGTCGACGACGAGGATCGAGGTTGTGGGTGTTGCTTTTTCGTTCCCCCTGCTGGCTCCACGGGCTGGAGGCATCTGGCGACGGCGGCGGCGACGGCGACATTCTCGCTAAGTGGGAAGAGACGGTCGGAGAGGAGGGTGAAGTTCGAGGTAGTAGGAGGAGGAGGCGGAGGAGGAGGCGGAGGCGGAGGCGGAGGAGGAGGAGGAGGAGGAGGAGGAGGAGGAGGAGGAGGAGGAGAAATGGCGAGAGAGGAGGAGGCGGAGGAGCAGGAGATGGAGGAGAGGAGAGGAGGAGGAGGAGGAGGAGGAGGAGGAGGAGGAGGAGGAGGAGGTGACGGAGGAGGAGGAGAAGGAGGCGGAGGCGGAGGCGGAGTCTGAGGCGTTACGGCGTTTCTTTCTTGCTTATTTGGTTTCGCCACCCTCCCCACAGCCAAGGTGCGGGGCGGGCCGGCATCGAGGGTCTCGATCGTGAGATCAACCGGTCCGCGTCCAGGCTTGGAGGACGAGGAGGAGGAGGAGGAGGAGGAGGAGGAGAAGGGGGAGGAGAAGGAGGAGGAGGAGAGGAGGAGAATATTTGACGCTCCACGGGCACATTCTGAGCGGCCTCATCTCCGAGCGAGACTGGCGAAGAATACACTTCCCATTGGAGGTGACCAGGAGGCCCTGGGTGAGCCACGAGGGAGCCGAGGAGCGCACGAAGGCATGCCGGCGACTATCCTGCAACGGTTTGACGACGGTTTCGAAGTGCCGCCACCAGAGCTCCTCCTCCTCCTCCTCCTCCTCCTCCTCGTCCTCCTCCTCCTCCTCCTGCACTTCCTCCTCTCCCGTCTCCTCCTCCACCTCCTCCTCCTGCCCCTGCCTCCCGAGGCTGGAAGACCGCCGAGGACCGCCAGAGACGCCTTGACAACCTCGAGGCCGGCCCCGATACTACTCGGGGGTGGATAGACCTCCTACCCTGACACGTCGATTATGGAATTGGCCGTTTTCGGTTCGCGAGAGGACTTCGCGGCCGTCAGTTCTGCGGGTCCAGGTCCGTCGGTTTCGGTCCCAGGCCGTTTTCACTACGGGGAGGCTTACGGAAGGGAGGTTTGTCCACCGCCGATGCTACCACCCCTGGAGTTCGAACCCCAGACTCGTCCCTGGGAGCGTCCTGGCCAGACCTTCGAGAAGAACCCAGCCGTGGCCCCCAGGACGCCCCAGCACCCCTTTGGCCCAAGAAGAAGCCTGGCATCCTCGGGATCTCCTATATCCTCGGTGCTCGAGCCTGCGGAGGAGTCCGAAAACCTCGGTTCTCGACATCTTCTATAACCTCTTTTCTCGAGGTTATATGAGAAGATGTCGAGGTTATACCATCCGAAAGCCGAATCCAAGAAGCCTGAACCCTCGGGATCTCCTATAACCTCGGTGCTCGAACCTGCGGAGGCGTCCGAACACCTCGAGGCCCGACCCCTTCCCTGCTCACCGGCGCGGCAGGAGGCGCGGTGGAGCTCTGGCGGCGACTGGCGCGCCGCACTGGCGCAGCTGATCCCGCTGCTCGCCGGGCTACAGGAGGCCCTCGCAGGCGCGGGGGGGGAGGAGGAGGAGGAGGAGGAGGAGGAGGAGGAGGAGGAGGAGGAGGGCAGGAGGAGGAGGAGGAAGGCAGGAGGAGGAGGAGGAGGAGGAGGAGGAGGAAGTGGAGGAGGAGGAGGCGGAGGGGAGGACGGAGGATGGAGGAGGAGGAGGAGGAGGAGGAGGAGGAGGGGAGGAGAATCGGAGGAGAGGAGGATGGAGGAGGACGGGAGGATGGGGGCGCGCGGGTAGGAGGAGGAGGAGGAGGAGGAGGAGGGAGGAGGAGGAGGAGGAGGAGGAGGCGGCGAAGCGCGGCGGAGGAGGAGGCGGAAGAGGAGGAGGAGGAGGAGGAGGAGGAGGAGGAGGAGGAGGAGGAGGAGGAGGAGGAGGAGGAGGAGGAGGAGGAGGAGGGGGCGCGCGAGCTCCCGGCGGCGGGGCCGTCGAGCGGTCTGCGCTGCCGCGGAGGCCCATGCCAAGATACCTTGCTCGGGAGGGGAAAAAACACACAGACACAATGAATCGTCGATTCCCCAGAAAATATAGGAACATATGGGAACTGGGGGGAAGACAAAACCCAGAAAATATGTGAAAAACTTGGGAATCCTGTTATATGGGGAATCCTTCTATTTGTGTGTATGTATTTGTGTGTCCCAGGGCCCCTTCACCTGCTTGCCTCCAGGGTGCCTTTGGTTTCGATGGTTTTGCTGAACGACCCAGGGTCTCAGGGTTGAGTTTCTTGTGGAGGGGCCTCCACTGTACTCGGGAAGCCGCGACCGCTCACGGTGGAGCGCTCAGTGGGGTATCAGGGGCCAGCGCCGACGTCGTCGCAGCACGAAGGTGCCGTGTGCGCACAGACGGCGACGGCATTCCTCCTTCGCCGAAGGAAGGAGCTGAAGGCGGGCGAGGTCTGGGAAGCGTACAGGGCTGCGCGGAGGGCTCGCGTATGGGACATCATACGGCACCCGATTACCATGTGGGCGCCATCGCGGAGTGCGCCGCAAGATGCGAGTAATGTGATACAGGCGGCAGCCTGCAAGTGAGCCGCACCCCAGACTTCAAGGCGATACAAACAAACGTCAGTTGGCGTGGATCCCAAACAGTGCGTGTCTGTATGTTTATATAGGTATAGATACTTATGTGTGTATGTATAGATGTATGATGTTATCTATGTGCAGCAATATGTGTGATGCAACTTATGTGGAGACATATGGGTTGCAAACTATGTGGTGAACTATTGTTGCTGCGAACGGTGTAAGGAATTCTTGACGCTTCGCGTATCCCCACCAGCACCACTTCTGACCCCCATACACATGGGCGTGTA